GAAGAAGTACACCGGAGTGAGCGTCCACATTGGGCCACGGATTCTTGACTTTGCCTGTCTCCATGAGAATGGGAGGAACCACTTTGTACACCTGAGACACCAGCCTGAAAAGTGGGTCGTTGGGCAAATGTTTCTGTGCGAACTCCCTCTGGCAGGCGAAGCGTGGATCTGTCTTACGAAGAACGGCGTGACCGTAGCCTGGAACCACCTGTCCACTCTTTAATGTTCTGCAGATGAACTCTTTCACTGCGTCGTCTGTTGCGTTGTCTCCCAACTCTTTCTGCAGTTTCTTGAGGAATATTAACACCTCCTGATTCGCTAAACCGTGCAGAGGACCTGCGAGGCCATTCATACCAGCTGCAAATGAGAGGTACGGATCCGACAACGCCGAGCCCACGAGGTGAACAGTGTGGGCACTCACATTGCCTCCCTCGTGATCGCTGTGGATTGTGAGGTACAATCTCATGAGTTCTGTAAACTCTGGGTTGTCATAGCCAAGCATCCGACAAAAGTTTTGACTCCAATCCTTGCTGGCATCGATGGCCCCAGCGCCCTTACCATGACGGTACGTGTTGCGGTAGATGGTCGCTGCTACGACGGGGAGCTTTGCGATTAGATCCATGACGTCTTCGTAAACATACTCCCAGTATTTCGATTTGTGTACTCCAGAGGAGTATGCCCGGGCGAACTTGCTCTCAGAACTGAGTGCTGTTATGGCGCAGCTGAACTGCGACATGGGATGCAGGGTGGGAGGGAAGTTGTACAACAGTGTCGCCACGTGTAATGATAGTGCTGCACGTTTTGCCCACTCCTTTGAGACTGCTTGCACCTGAGCTTGATTTGGAACTTGTCCAGTGATGAGCAGCCAGAACAGACCCTCTGGCAAGGGTTGAGACCCACCCTTGGCCTTAGGAAGCAGTTTCTGACATTCGGGAATTGAGTAACCACGGAAACGGATTCCCTCGTCAGGATCAAGAACAGATGTCTCACACACCAACCCCTTGATGCCACGCATACCTCCATACATCATGTCAACTGTGACGTGTCCGATCTTGGTTGCTCCGTAAGCTTTTCGGAAGTTCTTCACCCTTTCCTGCTCTTCAGGAACCTTCTTGGCGAGTACAGCTTTGAGGTCAGTCGAGTCTGAGAAGTTGCGCAGAAGAGCTGTCAGGGCTGGTGACATTTTCTGTCGTACTTCGGTGAATCGCGAGGCCGTCATGCGAAATAAAGCCATTTTTGCTGCCAGATTTTACGCACCGAAACTGCAACCGAAAGGCAAAGCTCGTCTAAATATTATACAAAGAAAGGTCTACACTTCATCATTACAGAATTCAAACAATTATATAATATTATTTGAAATTGTGTTAGAAAGCGAACAAGCTTAATTTTCTTTCAAGTGTTCTTAAGTATCAATGAAAGTATGTAAATATGTTGAGAAATATAACAATAAAATAAGAAATAGTCCTTACCTATCTCTTCGTTTAAGGGAAGATAACTGGATATCCACTGGCAATAAATATTGAATTAGAAATAAAACACACAGAGTGTAGGACAGTTTTCAAATTCTTTTAATATGTTGTTGTTCTTCAGTAGCACAATAGTATCTTGTCTAAGGCGCACTTCTTCTACAAGCGATTCATAGCTCTGTTCTTTCCGCACTGAGGAAAGCTGATTGTTGACGGAAATATATACTAATACAATAATGCCGACGAAAACTATGAGGTAACAATGTGAAATTTTATGCCAGTATTGTTACAAGAAATAACAACATTGTTACAGGTGTTGTTTATAAATTCCAATACATTTCTTACATTGTAATACACGCAGGTGTTCATATAAAACCTGACCATTGTTGTTCGATATTTACACATTGTTGGTAGTTGAGAAAAATACAAAGCGAATTGCTATCTTCTTATCTTCTTTCTTTTTACTATAAAAATTTGTGATTCCTCGTTGTCTTCAACCAATTTGTCGTCAAAAAATGACGTCATCAACAATGCCGAGTAAACAAATAACGCTTCACAACAAGGAAATTAAAAAGAATATCAAGTCAGTCGCATTAT